TTATTCACTTTCGAACAAAATGACTATGAACAAAATGACGTAGTATTATTTCGCAAGCACTACAGATGAGTTCATTCGAGGGCAAGAAAAAGTAAAATTTAAACCTTTTAAAGGTGATTTAAAGGTGATTGGCTTGAATTTATTGCAAAACCCTCTGTTTCAATTGTGAATCTGTCGAAAATTAGTTAAGATGTGTGACTTGTTCCTTTTGGGGTCATGCATTTTCCGCCTTTGTCCCAAAGTAGACCAAACGTTTAATTTGTGAACTGTCTTCCTAAAAATTAGTAACTTAGTATGTTCATTTTGTACGTACAATATGGACAAAATGGTTTTTGTAACTAGTTGCATTTTTGCGTTATAAATATGTTATTGTAGATTCTACTTAATTGAAACACTACGTTGCTGGTAGTCAATGAAAAAAGACTGGTAAAAACAATTAAGAATGACTATAATATTATTATATAAATAAATTGCATTGAAAATGCCATGTCATTTTGTCCTTATTTCCCTATCTGTTGTTTGATATTGCATTTACTGGAAAAGTTCTCAAGTACTCTAATTAATTTAAAATTATTACATTATGCTTCTCAATAAACTTCATTTTATCATTTTATTATGATTCAATAGACTAATAAAAATTGTTTAATAGTTTTATAACTATTTGTACTTTTTTATAGTTTGGAAAATCAATTTATTATGATAGTTTTAAGAGTTTTGTGAAGGTATCCTACAGCATTTTATAACTCTGAATTATATATATAAACATTAATTTTGGTGTTTTAAAATAAACGTATGAAATTTTAGACTAAACATATTAGAGAATTTTATCATGTATACTTGGTAATTGCATAATGTACTTTTGTAGTTGTTTGTTTTGTAGTGTACTATTTGTTGTGCTAAGTATACCTACTTTTATATAATTCGCCTGAATATGATTGGAGGTATTCTGTCCATTTTTCAATCTCCGTAATTTTGTAATTTTCACCAAAATATTTGGTTTTTAAGTTTTATATTAAATAATTGCTTGAATAATGAAACTGATAACACATGCGTGAAGACGAACTCAAGATAACATTCTGACGCTTGTGCCATTTGGAAGTTACGTTTTATGTATGAAATGCACGATTGAATAGCGAAGACCTAACTTTTTGACAGTCTTTTTCAAAAACTCAAAAAGTGATAATATATAATTTTTCATAAGATTCATTTTTGATTATGAAAACAGGTTCTAAACATTCGATTTTTTCTACTTCAGATTTTATGAAATGTCGTCATTCGATGAAAAGCAAGCGACATTGCTTTTGAAAGAAAGACCGATTGAATTTGTGAATTATAACAAACATCAACTGTCCAGAGTTTATCCAGCTGGTACGAGGTTTGATAGCAGTAATTTCATGCCGCAAATATTTTGGAATGCAGGTATTGATTTCATACAAAATCCATTTTAATTGTTATTATATGATTTATATTATAGTATGGTATTTGTTGTGATATATTCTGCAATTTCTTCGGTGTTTAGGTAATTTACAGTTTTTTTTATTTGCTTGACCATCTATCTACATAAGACATTAAACAATTGTTTATATAGTAAAAAAAAACTTGAAGTATCTAATATGTATGTCCCGTGATGTGCAATTTATAGGAAAAAATATAAAATTGCTATTAGGCTTCAAATAGGTCATTAGAGTTTTTTCAATAATTCGTTTTTAAATTTGTCCAACAACTTTCTTGCTAGACTTTTAGGTTGATCAATCAACCTGCTTTTGTACATCTGACTATGTCTGAGTATTTCATTTTTGACCAACACGCCATACCAAACTATACTCTGATCGATCCATATTAAATGTATGATGTATAATTTATATGTACATCTGTATACGAAGCAAAATATTTTTTGCATTTTGTACATTAAATATTATTTTATTGACAGGATGCCAGTTAGTAGCTCTCAACTATCAGACTTTGGATTTGGCCATGCAATTGAATTTAGGAATATTTGAATACAATCGCAGGTGCGGATACATTTTAAAACCAGAATTCATGCGAAGGAAAGATAGGCGTCTAGATCCATTTGCAGAATCTACGGTAAGGATAAAATACTTTAATTTTTGTTAAATTTCGAGATCTTTAATGTTTGAAATCGAGATTTAAGTTACAAAACGCTATTTATCTTTTTGGAATAAGAACAGTAACAAACAGGCTTAGTGATTGAAAACTATACGCAAGAAGATGAAAATATAGTTGAATTATAACGAATCCAAGATTTGATATTCTAAATTGTTATAATATCAAATTTAATCTATTCTATCCTTTTTGATTTGATAGTGTTTATATTGAAGCTTCTGTGCAAGTCTGCAGTTGATCAAGTTAATTTTGTTACACTAAATATTTTAGAATTTCCATTCAGTATTTCATTCAGACCAATTCAGCTGATCCTTTTTACTCCACATAGGTTTAGGCTTTCATAGAAGTTGTATAACAAAACTGTTGAATCTCATTAAAAATTAACAATCCATCTTATAAAACAATTAAATAACATATACTTAAAAATTATATCAAGGTCTCGTTATTGATCTTCAAACATTGCCTTTTATCCCCCGATAGCAACGTCGTAATAATCAAGGTGTTGGTGGTGGTTATAAATCTATATTCTTCTACTTTCAAACATTGTTATTAAAAAATTCTTAATTTTACTTGTTTTTGAGATATCCGTGGTGGACCTTTTTACCCGCGGTTCCTTCAAAACTCGCTATACCCTATCTAAATTTTGTCACTAGTATTACAATTTTTAACTAATTTGGTTCTATCAATCTGTGATTTTTTCATCCATTAATTCATAAATGAGCTTTTGAATTCAAACCAAGAAAAATAAATTTTAGATATTGTAATCTTTGAAATCAAATTTTGAGCGGTCAGTGCTAGATGTAATGTAACTTCTAGACGATAATAAGTTTCATATCAAGATGTGTCTATTTTATATAATGGGTTTATACATGATGAGATGCTCCTGCATACTTCAATAAATATTTTATATGTTATACAAAAGTTATTTTCAATGTTAATCACGTGCGAAGTGGGTGCTTTCGCAGGTAGACGGCATAATTGCTGGTACCGTATCAATCAGCGTGATTTCTGGGCAATTTTTAACAGACAGGAGGGCTGGTACGTATGTGGAAGTGGACATGTATGGTCTTCCAGCAGACACCGTCAGAAAGAGATTCCGGACGAGATCCGTTCCGAACAATGGCATCAATCCTGTTTATGGCGATGAACCTTTCGTTTTCAAAAAGGTAAACTTAATAGATACACTTTCAGATTATGCTTTAAATTGCTTTAGATAATAAATAACGATAAAAAAGTAAGACTTTTCATACTTAGAGGCACAAATGCAGAAATACGTCTTGTGCATGTTTTAATACGAAGGGCAAATCCTTCGGTAATATATAGAACGTAACAAAGCGTTGTTATGGCAACGCTATGCTACGCTTCTTTCTTGGTACTGAAAACGGTCAAATTGTATTTTCAGTGCAATAAGACAGTTTAGATATAGAACCTAACCTAGAAAATCCTCAAATGTCCAAAATGTTATCGTAACTGCATCTTAATGATTTAAAACGCCTGATCACATAGCAAATATATAGCATTTTGACAATTTTATTACCAAGAAAAGAGCGTAACATGGCATTGCCATAGCAATGCTTTCTAACGGTCTATTTTGCCAGAGATTTGCCCCTGCTCGTGAGATCAATGTCAATATTGCCTCACTCAATTGTTAATATTGTCATCAATTATAATATTGCCTCACTTAATATTCAAAACTTTAGAAAACTTGTTAAATAGATTAGCTAGTTATAAGGCATTTAACGACATAATTATAATTAATACAATGTATATATGCAAATTCAGTGTTTCAGTTAATTTTTCATTATAATACAGTATAACTTAAATGCTTTTACTTTCAACAAGTATAATAGACTTTTACAGAAGAGGAGATATGACAATCTTCTTCAAAATATATCTCATATTACTTTGTTTTGAATATACTTTTAATACTAAAAAATGCAAATTATTATTATTTTTCACTCTTTGTGCTACTTCTTTTAATTAATCTCATTACGTGCTCTCTTTTAAGTTGTCAGTTAATTGCTTCATTTTTATAATCCGTTTATCATTCTTTCATTATTTTTCACTATGCTATATTTCATTATATATCTTTTTGTTTACATATTTAATTCTGCTGTGGAAGACTTAGAAAAATATTCAGTTTTTACTTTAATTGTAAAATTTTATAGATATACAATTTCAAAATTATTTATCCAGATTTTAAATTTGTGTAAACTTTTTTAAACTTTTAAATATTTTATATTATAACTCAATAATATGCATTATATTATATTTTCCTAGTTTTTCTTAAAAAGATGCTAATTCTAAATTACTAAATATTGTTACTTATATTACATGTTTTTATTATTTTAGAACAATCTGTTTTTTATATAAAATAATTTTTTTTATAAAATAATTTACGAATAGCAAATTGTTTATTTCTAACTAAATCCAGTAAGATTTTTTATCGATTTTATTTTTGTGTTTATTAAATCATTGTCCTCGGACAAACCTTCTTGCATATATTTTGGGTTAATATCCATTTTTTTCTAAAACTGATAACTAATTAATTTTGAATATTTTCATTTCAAGTTTAAGTATTCGATATTCTTTTAAATATACAGAATTTAATAAATAATCCAAATACAAATAGCAGGCCGCATACTTCATAATGGATCTTACGTTGCATCTGCGTCTCTTTTTTCTTAGAAACTTTAACTATAAAACTGTTAAAACAATACTTATCTAAAGTTTTTGATGTGTATGTATGTATATGTGAGATACTATGAAAAGTTTCGAAAAAACTCTAAATGATTCCAATGAGTTACTTACGTTTTGACATAAATATGGTATTATACAAATAATACCATAATCCTAGACAATATTAGAATACCCCGTGTTCACCATAATATCCAACTTAACTAATTCTAGATCTTATATTTGGTTTTTAAAATAATCTATTGATTTTAAGAAAACATACTTTAAATTCACATCTAATCGATATGCTACATTACAGTTCTCTGAAACACTAAATTTTGTATAAAAATTATTCTATTTTCAACTACAGCAGATTTCAGAAAAATGAAGTGACTGAAATTTGAGAATCATTTTCGTATATAATTTTTGTATTTCAGTAAGTTTGTATATCTTTCATGTAAAAAATCTGTTTTGAATAATAATATTGTGTTTTTATTTAGGTTGTACTACCAGAACTGGCAAGCATCAGGTTGGCAGCTTACGAAGAAGGTGGCAGATTTCTTGGACACCGAGTTCTGCCAGTTGTCGGTCTTTGTCCTGGTTATAAGCATGTGCAGCTAAGAACAGAATTGGGCTTACCTCTACCATTAGCCACATTATTTTTATCTATAGTAGTTAAGGTATAGTAAATAATTTATAATATTAATAAAATTAGTCTTCATCTAATATTTTATTCTCAAGTAGGTCAAGCTATAAGATTACCACTTTTCTTAGATTTTGCGCTTTAGTATATATGTTTTAAATTAAATATCCGCGTTCTTCTTCGACATTTCCAGTCCAGTTTCTATTCTATCAGTAACAGTTCTACTTTTGAAACCTTACCGTGATATATATTATAAAATATTGTTCCATATTCTACTTGAAAATATATCAAAACTTTTCAAATATTGTTAGTAGTAAAGTTTTTGTCCGGGAGCAATCTGGAGTTATGCAGCAAATATATTTTACAAGTTTTCGCATCTTTTGAAATTCAATATATTGTTCAAACAAATCCACCAGAATTATGCTTAGGTTTTGTTTTGGAGTTTAAGAGAATATATAGTTGGCATCTTAGTTCAAAAGAACGTATCGAGTGTCCTATATATAAATATGATATCAAAATTTAATATTTTCATTAAATTATAAATATTTTTAGTAACTTAATAAGTTTGATTCGGTTAGTTTAATTTGGTTAGTCTTAATTCAATCTCAAATTAGTCTAAATTTAATATCAAAATTTAGTCTTTTCATTGAATTAAATATTTATTCATCAATCCTATAAGTTTGTTTCAGATTGTTGACCCTAATGAAAGATATTTTGAAAAATTCTGAAATATAACAGCATATATATTTTATAGTCATATTTCAAGCTATATATACAGGGTGTCCCTGAACTTAAGCTCAAGCCAAAATGGGGTGATAGTATTGACCTTAATTATCCTGAAAAAAGAATTTTAAAAAATATCTCACGTTTCAAAATTATGAGCTTTTAAGTGCAATCTAGAGCTTTGGTGATTCATAATTGATGTAGAGTGATTTAGAATTATGTTATAATAATATATAATATAATGTGACTAAAAAATTGTCATAGTTTTACCTAATTTTTAGGTTGCCAATTTCTAAATAACGTGAGCAATTTTTTAACTTTTTGTAGGGCAATTTATAGTAATTGCAAAAAAATCGAAAATGAAAATTTTATATATTTTTACGTTTTAAAGGTTTCTGAACATTTTGGCATACCTTAGAAGAAATGGATGTATGTGTGTGTGCGGATACAAATTTAAAAATAATTTATAATAAGTGCAAAAAAAACGAAAATGAAAATTTCATATATTTTTACTATTTAAAAGTTTCTGAACATTTTGGCATACCTTAGAAAAAATGGATGTATGTGTGTGTGTGTGTGCGGATACAAATTTTCGTCGATTTTAAAAACATTCAATTGGTATTGATAAGGAGGCGTGCTGATTAGTTTTTGGCAAAGGCAGGTTCAGCGGTTATGGCCTCTCAATAAAAATAATTTAGAAAAAATGTCATTTGGCGGTCAAAAATATTTATTGGACATATATGTACATCAAATTATCAGACATTTTATAGAGATTTTCATAATGTGTACACATTTTGTGTAAATTTTTTTGGGTTCCGTATCAAGATTTTCAATGACGGTACGGTAAGTTCCAGTAATTTGCCTCAAGGCACGATGCCATGCACTCCACTAGTTATTCTAATTTTTATCAGGGCAATACTATCACCCCGTTTCGGTTTGAGGTTAAGTTCTGGGACACCCTGTATATTTATATATATATATATATATATATATATATATATATATATCATATTTTATATTTTAATTTGATGGTTTTCCAAAATACTTAAAAATACATAAAAATGAATTTTATTATGCATAATTTTCGAATAATAATAATATATGACTGAATTAGTAAAATGTTTTCCAGTATAATTATGATACATGAAATCCCTAATATCTATGTGAGAACTATATGGAAATTATCAATTCATAATTAATTAAATATTATTCATACGGCATTATGATATTTTAATGTGTTTTTATAATATATAAATTAATATAATTCTTTCCAGGATTACGTTCCGCATAACTTTGTGGACATTGCCGATGCACTCGCGAATCCGATAAAATATCAAAGTGCATTGGACAAACGTGCAGAGCAACTGGCTGTGCTCACAGAAGATATGGAACCAGAATTGAATGCTGATGGAGAAGAAGACCACAAGGGTGAGGGTGGTGACAAATGTGATACAAAAGGGGATGCAAATGTGCACCTGTCTAGTACGACAGGCAGTGGCAGTATCTCTTCTCTAGTTGCTAAACCTCAGCGTAGAATGACCAGTAAGTAGATAATGAATACGTCTATAAGAGAAATTGGAACTGGGCATTATCATTTGTTAATAATTTTGTATAATATTAGTTTTAATAGAAGTTTTAAGTTTGCTGACGTAGGCCAAATGTGACATATCTCTTGTGGTTGGGAAGTAGGCAATTTAGCTGTCAATCAATAAAAGGTTATGCGCTGTTTCTGGTGGCAAAGCCTTAAATATCAGCAGTGTCAGAACTGGTTTGCCAAATTTCGTTCTGGTGATTTTTTACTCAAAAATTATGAAAAACGCTCTGATCGTCCAGTCGAATTTGATTACAAAAAAATTGCCTACTTCTATACTTATTATCCAACCGAACGATTAACTTTGATGTCTACATTGTACAACTAATAAAATTAAAAAAATTCTTTGCAGTATCAAACGTCGCCTGCAGACGAGAGCTTCTAACATCAGACGGCGGCAGTCCTCATTCAATAACAGCCGGTGGTAGTCCCCGTTTACATCACCGCGCTAGTGTGGTTACCAGCACCGCCTTGGGAGGAATGGTTGCGGGCGGCGGTCTAATGGCTAACGCTGCTACCGTCTCTTCCCTGACTGGTGGAAATGATGACAAAGAATTCAGTGACGGTCAGAACGAGGTCACAAGTAGCGGAGCAAGCGGTGGTGACATGCCTGTTGTCAGAACGATTTCAGCTGCTTTAGTGAGTAACTAAAGATAAATACAATTGTTCGAAACATTATATTAAAAGTAGTCACATTTATTTGTAATTTGCTTATTTTATATTGTTACGAATTGATTTGTATATTATTAGTTACTAATTCCTGCAAAACTACTTTAAATATTACAACTACTAATGAGAGTGTTATTGACTTAATTACATAATTATTTTGACATACATATTCTAAACATTTCTTAACATAAAACATACAACTTATCCTAGACTTATTTAACCCACGGTGCAAATAGTGTCCGAACATGTCCATACTTCGGGCCCGATTCACATTACACATTAATCACATATTGTGTTATATTAAATTACTTTCGGTTCGGTGACAGCTGCCGATGCGCTGACCTGTTGCTGTTCTTTTAGCTCACCTTATAAAAATAGTTTATTAGACATTTTGCACTCTGGACCGCGCGTTTGATGGCCCTGATTTTATACTTAGGGATGTCCTCAGTGCCAATACTTTACATACACAAAAGAAGACTACTCTCACGACTGTGGGCTAATTGCATACTTCTTCTGGACACTCAGGAAGAACTCATATAAAGACAGGGAGAGTTTTGTGCACATTCATAACAATATATCAATTTGATTTAACCACGTTTTTAGTATATATACCTACTCTTGTAAGTGTAATGTAATCTTTCCTTGAAACAAGTTCTAATCAAGTGTTTGAATAGAGCGTTATAGATGATGATATAGATGATAAGTAGATGCAAAACTTTACGACATTTTCAGGAATAAAATAATCAGCAACAACAGAAACAAAGCATGACTCTTTTTAGGTCTAGCAATAAGAATATTGTGACGGATGATAAGTAGATGCAAAACTTTACGACATTTTCAGGAATAAAATAATCAGCAACAACAGAAACAAAGCATGACTCTTTTTAGGTCTAGCAATAAGAATATTGTGACGGATAAAGGTTGATGCCCCCTTTCTTGGGTGTTGCAATGACTGCCAAATATTATATCTTAGCATTGCATCCCCATTCGAAAGCGTTACTCCAATTTCTTAACCCGACTTCTATAAACACCCTGTAATTACCTGTGGAAACTAAACCAACTAACTACGCGTATGAAACAGAATGCACTTTTATATCATTTAATTTAACTAATTATGATTACAGATCTGAGGAAATGACTGAACCTACGTACAGTCATGTCCTGTGCCTAAACTCTAACGTACTGATGAATCTTTATTAATTACTAACGGAGTAATGTAACGGCTTTATTAATTACTAACGGAGTATCGGAAAATGCTAACGGAGAGAATAGCTAATATATAATACATTCGACCTTTGCTGGAACAGGTTCTTCTCTTCTGGCACAGCACACAAACCACTAAACACTAAGCGGGTCTAACGGCTCGTGCCAGGACCCGATTGACCTCCTCGGAGGATGTTACATTTCTTAATGACGCTTTTCAACCTTCGACTTGGACCTTATATTGCAGGAACCCTAGTAGAAGTAGGTGGGGGAGTACTTTTGCACTGAGGGTTGTGCAACCCTTTGACGACAATACCAATTATCGTTACAATATATATATATATATATATATATATATATATATTATTGTTTTCATTGTGTAAGAGCACCAATTTCTGTTTTCGGGTGTAATTGCTTTTTCCTGTATTTTTCTCTTCTCGCGCAAGTCGTTGATCGACTGCATTCTTTTTCGTCTCATTTGTTTTAGCTTTTTTATTTTACCTTTAATGACATTGTGCAGAAAATATCAATATGTAATCAATCTCATTTCTTTTTTTTTCACAACCGTATTCGAAAAATTTTTTACCACTTTTTGTCTTCGCACTGGCTTTTGTTCATTTATTTTCTGGCACCACATCTCGAATCACTATTCGGTGTTTTATTCAAAATTCATGTTATAAATTGGTTGAAATCATATATCACTATTTCAAATATTTTTGTAATTGGTAATAATAAATTAGTAATTCCATTACTATCTTTTCAGCAAAAAGCTCTCGATCAGGCTATTCCAGTGCGAAGTCCTGAAGCGATAGCTGCAGAAGACATCAAAGCTGAAACACTGGAAAAACTTTTCGAAAATAAATCCGTTGCTGAGAAACGTTTGGAAATGGAGAAAAAATTAGAATCGTTGCGTAAGAAACAAGACAAGGAAAGGCAAAAGTCTTTGGAGGGTAGCGGATTAGCTGAGAAAAGATCTTCTAAATTCTATATGAGCAGTAAACTTGTGAAGAGGCTATCCAGTAAAAATATGTAAGTATAGTAATAGATAATATAGTAATAGAATATTATTTAATTAAATTGCGTATAATAAAATATTCTGGTCGCGTACAGACATTTTGATACTTCCATCATGTTTTCCCAAATCTTCTTCTCACTATTGATATTTGATTTGATATGTGATATTTAATTTTTGATTCTGAGAATGAATCTTAAAATTCGCATATCGATAGTTTTTTTAATGAGTTATATGCATATTTATCTTGAATCAAGGTAGCAAAAAATGTATATCTTTTTAAATGATATGGCTCTTCTATATAAATTAGTTCTCCGATTTAAATCAGTGTCGAAGTTTGGCCGACTAATAATTGCTACTATTAGTTATATATTCAATGTGTAGTACATTTAGTTACCAGGTTTATTTGTATTTTATGAGATGTTTTTAATTAATTTTTAGCAGTGACGCTCCTTGGTCATCGGCGGGTTCTTTAGGAAGTGTTGATGGAGATAGTCATGCTGTAGCTGCTGCCGCTTCTTGTCCAGCTTTAGCTCGACTGGTTCGGGAGCACGCAATTCAACTCAAAGAACTTCAAGAACGATATCACGAAACAATATATTCCATAGCTGAAAAGGCTTTGAAACAATCTCAGGCGAATCAGATGAAAGCTTTGAGGGTAAGCAAATAATAGGAACGGTTCAAACACAATGATGTGATTTGCTCATTTAGGCTCCTAAATGTGACCATTAATTTATTGTGTTTGCTTTTTTTCATTTATTGCTACTGTTTAAACAATATTTTTGCTTTATACACATTTCAATTTACTACTAGGTCTGAGTGGTATTTTACCTTAATCCAAGTTGCATGAATTTCCTAATGTGACAATTGAATTAACCAAAAACAATTGCGATTTTAATTTATAGATTAATTTTTCAAATTATCAGGATAAAATTTTAACTATTTATTTCGAAAATAAACCTTTCGTTTCTCACTAACAATAAGTACTAAGTAAGTTTCCAATTGATATCTTCTAATCTAAATCATTTTGTGCAATCTAGTACAGGTCCCTAATATAAATATTAAATCTTACTTAAACATAAATATTTTAATTAATATAATTATTTTGTTTGCAGGCTTTGCTAGATAGAGAAACTGCGGAACTGGGACAAATATTAGAAACGACGAGGCGGAAAGAAGTCAAAGATCTTGCTAAAAAGCATCGAGATCGAGATGAACTCATTCGTATGAAAAGAGAAGTGAGATATAACATTATTTTATTAAATTATGAAATTTTTTATATTAATTCAAGTTGTATGGAAAAAGTGATTGAGCAAGTTTAATTCCAATCTCTACGTCTGAATTAATTTAAAAATATTAAAAACAGTCACATAAAACTTCATTTATCTGAGATATTTTTTCCTTATTTTAACATTGATTTCTAATTGAATTGTGTTATGATTTTAGGTGGCAACAGCAATCGTGGAAAGGGGTGTTGCTGAACGAGTTAGACTTGCTCAAGATTATGAAAGGAGAATTGATGTTCTACAACGTGAACATAATCTTGTGAAAAAAAATCTTGAAGAACATCGACTGAAGGTGAAGGAATAGAAATATTTTATTAAATAAAAGAGTACTATATTGACTAATTATTGCAAACTTTCAAACAAAATATAGGTATTTAGGTTAAGAATTTTAATTATTATCTAAAGTTTTTTTTTATTTGCATAGTTTTATTGCCAATCAAAATAATATACATTTTTAAGACAATATACTGGATTTAAATGCAATGAAGAGATTATCTCCTATGAGATATCTCTCTTTTTTATTTTGTGACATTTTTTTTAAGATTGTATAGCCATTTTTTTTCAATCTTCGAGTGGGATATTCCTCGCTTAATTATCTAAAGTTATTATCTAAAATATTCTAATTGAATAATTGTAAGAAAAAATATTGAGGAAGAGTTTGTATCGGTATCAATTTGCTTATATTGAGCAGAATTATTGTTAGATCTCAATCAAGCAAGACGTGATAAACAAGGATATAACGGCCAATTCAAATTTGTTTTCATGTGATGCAGTTCATTAAGGAGATTCAAACTTCAAGGTTGCAATTTATTCAATACGTATTGAATACATATGATATTTAGAAACAATTTCCAATTATAAATGATGCGATTTTATTCACAAATTTGTTTTAAATATAAACTAATATATAGGGAAATGTAATATTACTATTGTTCGAACCTCACAAGTTCCATACATCTATCTTCTTTTACCTAACATTAATAAAATAATTTTCTTGCCTTACGAGGGAATCGTCAGTTTCACTCTTCTGGGATTTTGGTGAAACTTTACATGGTGATGAAGTAGATAGTCTAACCGAAACCCAGAAAATATTATAGGCTATGGGAAGTGGTTCAATTATAAAAATTAATTAAAGTTGTTGAAAATGCGCTACGTGCTAGGCCATCTCAACATACTAACAGGGAAAAAATACAAATTATTTATTAAACTATTGACTTATTTTTTAATCAATTCATGTTATTTTATATCAGTCATGATATAGCATTTTTAACAATAAATTATATCTGGTCCTTCGAGATAATTACAGTGTTCGTGTGTAGTGAAATTAATTTACTTTTTAATAAACATTGCGCCGGGCATCAACAACCATAGTTGTACAAACACCCCAGTCAAATTGAGTTTTCAGTTAGGAATAATTCGCATAGAGCTGAAATTTGATACAGATGTTAAATAGGCCATTGCAAATGAAATGTCAAAAGTCCACATCGATCCGACATCTGCGATTTTTTTTATTCAAGGTCAAAGGTGCAAAAATCTAGTTTTCCCCATTTTCCGTCGAAACCATACAATTTTTTAAAAAATTATGTTAGAAAGGTTTGTTTACTATAAAATTATCTATGAAATTATTATTTAGTTATTTTTGGCTTTTTTAGCTTTAATTTGACTGGGGTAAAAGCATCGTTGGAGTAAGTAATGTACTCTCAGACACATCTTTGTAAACCTATGAATCTGTAAATTCCATCTAAAATTTTTGTAAGAATATTAAGTTTTGTAACAAAATTAAGTAACTCATTATTAGTTAGTAAGAATTTTGAAAATTGTTGCCAAAACGATTTGATTGAATACCTAAATTATTTTCAATATTTTATTACCAGGCGAAGAATGATTTGGAACTGGAGTATTCTAGTCGCATAAGTTCCGCCGAGTGCGGTGAAACCGCCGGCAGTGGCGCCTCCACGGCGGCGGTGTCGAGCTTACAGGAACAGCCGTTGGAGCTGTAGCACGAGCGGCTCTCGACCATCAGCGAGACAATCTCCGCCACAACCAATTCCAAATGCGGTAAATGTAATAGTTGTTGTCGGACCGCCGACAGTCCGTGACAGCCACAGCTGACCAAACACGGCCAATGTGAGTTAAATGACATTTAGATTTAATGTGTTATTTATGACTATTATAAATTCATACTTATTATTTAATCGATTATATAAAAGATGATAATAGCAGTGCTAGTGGCAGAGATTTCAAACTCAGTTTGATCTTAAAATTACAGTAGTTAAGGTAACACAGGTACAGAATTCCGGTGTAGTACATAATTTCGTGATATTTTCATTTTATCGCAAATAAAATTTTTATACAATTCAACATCAAGAATATAGTTAGTTAAATAGTTTCAATTTATTAAATGTTTCAATTAATTTTTAAAGCCGTATCGAGCTTATGATCGTAGCCCGTACGGCGTTGTTGTTTAGCCCAAGAGACTCTTCCATATCCTTAATAATTATAAGTGACGCTAAGTTTAATGTACTTAAATCTATGAAATTATTGGTTAATATTAATATAAAATAACTTTATAATTAATTATTTAACATACTTTTCGAGAAATTGTCAATTTCATGAATACCGTAATTATGTTCACACTAGGTAGTTTATGTAATTCCGTGCATATCACGAAATAACGAAAGATTGGCTTAAAATATTTTTGTCTTTTATTTTCAACTATCGTTAAATTTAGTGGTGTTTTTTATGTACATATTTTTTAGCTCTTATAATTAAGTTTGAAACTAGTGGGGTGGGTGGCATCGTGCCTTAAGGCGTAACGAAATGTTCGAGGAATACTGAATGTTTTTCAATAGATTATTATAAATATTGTAACATTGTCTAATATTTATAAGAATTATATAAACTGAATTGCAAAGTTGAAATTATTTGTGAAGTATATTAAAACTATAGTCACAATTAAAAATAAAATCTGAATTATTTTCGATATACAAAAAGTTTAAAAAAAAAAATTATTTTGAAGACAAGCAGAAAGTTCTTTGAATCATTCAAATCGGACGCTTAGTTCTCTCAAAAACTTCCATTTTTTACATATTTAGCTCAGTATCTTCGAAATGGATGGGCCTGTCTTTGCCAAAAACTAATAAACCCTTCTCCCAATCATTACTAATTGAATGTTTTTTAGATCATTCAAATCAGATGCTCCGTTCGCTCAAAAAGTCGATTTTTATTTTCTGCACTCTTTGCTCCGTATCTCCGAAACGGCTGGACCTGCCTTAGCCAAAAACTAATCTGCTCTTCTCCCTATCAACAGGAATCGAATGTTTTTTGAACCATTCAAATCGGTTGGTCCATGCGCCCGAAAACGTGACTGGAAATTTGTATCCATACATACATACACACACACACATCCATTTTTTCTGAGGTATGCCAAAATGTTCAGAAACCTTCAAAACGTCGAGAAATGTAAAAATTTTCGATTCCGATTTTTGGCCCATTACAATAACTTACCCTACGGAAAGTTAATACCTACTCTCTCGTAATAAAATACACAAGTTTTTCACTCACAAACTTTTCGAAGGAAAAGATTGTTTTCGCCAGAATATCCGATTTGCTAATTTTATGTTTTCTCAACGTTTCATTCTGAATCAAATGACACAGTGTGTTCTGTGTGCGGAAAGAATAATTTTCGACCTTTTGTTAAGGTTTTCACCGAAACGGCTGAGCCGATTTAAAAAAAATTAAAGCCATTCGATTGATATTTACTCGCATTGGTTGTTGGTTATACGACCGGCTGAACCATTTCTTTAGAATTAGTGCAAATTGAAGAGAATAAGTACAAGTGCAATTTTTTTCGTCCACATGTGAGCGAAAATCTCAGAACCAATTTTGAAAATTCTAAATTCTATCTTATCTAATAAGTTGGAAGATATCTTCTGGAAATTGTGTTGATTTTTAGTTAAGATTTTAGTTAAGTTTTTAATAAAGATTCGTCATTTTTTATGAAACTGTATATGGTGATAAAGTACTTGGCTAATGAACACACGTGTTTCGGCAAAATACAGATCATTTCTATAAATGACGTGTTCTACGATGCAAAATGTTGTTTTATAATAATCCTATAAGTCTAATCTATTCAATAGAACAGTTTTAAATATTTGGTTCGCTTTCCTACTTTTTCTGAAAATCATCTTTAAAGTCAAACGTTTAGTCAATTCCGGAATATGGTACACTTACTATAAATGCTTTTCATCAAAACCAGACTTTTTTAACAGAAATATGTATATGGAAGTAACATGGAACAGAGCTGCTACTGCATATTCTCGTAGGAAAATAAATAAATAGACTCGTATAAAAATGTATAATATGGAAACAGTGATAAAAAACTCAGTCACTCGATGTAACTCGATAAGAACTATCGTTGATCAGTTTTGCGCAACGATAGGTCAAGCCGTTTCTTTGTAATTGGCAGAAAGTGTTGTCTTCCTAACAGTTCATCCATCGTCTAATAACCTATTAGGTGTCCTATTAGTAATAGGACACCCTCTATTCGTAAAATACGGGAAAAGAATTCGATTACTAAGACCGGTGTGAAACTATTTTCCGACTGTGCTAGGCAACAAGTTATAGACAGAAATATGTTAAGGATAATGCCGTGGTAAAAAGCGAGCTTAAACGTAATATATGGTTGGCAATATCGTAAAATTTGGTTTGTATTGTCCTGGCAATATTCAAGAAATCTGGTGTCATGTGCACTGGGCGTATGATATGTATCTTTATTGTCTAGGAGTATACATATTTATGAAATATATTTTGATAGTATTATGCATTCTTCGAATTCTGTTTATTTTTAGGAAGACAAGTACGATAATATTTAACATTTGATAAATATTTAATTGTTTTTTAACATTTTTTTACAGAATCCTATGAAAAGCGGTTTGCAAGCATGCAGATCGTCATAGATCTCTCGATAGAAAATTAATTTCGACATAGCACCATATGCCTATGGTTAAAGGTGCAATTTGTGTGTCAGTTCCAACCTTGCTTAAAAGCAAATTTACCGATTCGGTTTGTCTAATTGCAGCTCCAAAATTGAAGGTAATTCAAAGAAAATTATCTTAGGCAATAGTAATATATCTGAAGATTTCATGTGAGATCCCACGTTTTGAAACTGTTTTAAAATATTCGCTTCAAAAACTCAGCGTTCGTGTATTATTAAACAATTTAGTTATTGTGTAAATACTGCAGAAATTTATTTATTGAAGAAAATCTCATAGTGTTTTAAGTTACCTGCTAATAAATTAATATATTTTAATAGCACTTTTATATTAGTATGATTTGTCTATAATATTTTAATTCATGAATATATGACAAATAATAATAGTATCAAATTTCAATTTAAATCAAATTAATATATTTTATATGTGTATTTTAAATATTATTTATCTCTGTTAATTATTTTTGCGGTAATTCTGCAAGACTGATTTCACAAAAACTGCACAAGTATTAGAGTTTATAGATAAAAGTATTAAAAATCGTGTTGAATTTTTTTGTTATTCTTACTATTATTGTGAATTTTATCGTCGTTCAAATTAAATATATAAAACTCATAAACTTATGTAGTAGGTGTAGCATAAAGTGAATAAATGTCTATATTTCTAGCATTTGAGTTTAAGAATTGTAATATACTAGGTATAGGAATTTATAATATTTTGAGTGCCATATGTATTGCTTTATTATGCATGATACCGTAAACAACTTGATCTTATACATGTGAAAAATGTATATTTTTTTCTTTACAAACAATGTATTGGACTTTTAGGTTTATTCGTGATGGTGATGCTGAAGTTCAAGCAATATTAAAATTACTTACAGATTAAGAAATTTTTAAAATTAAATTTTTCATTTAAATATGATTTTATTGAAATATCAGTTTCAACGCATTAATATTTTTTATTTCGCCCAAAGTATTCAATCAATTATGATAGCATAATACATTCGAAATCCAAGAAGTGATGTGGTAAAAACGCATACAATTTTATACTTCAACTGCAGAATGCAGAAGTAAAGAACTCTATAAAAATTAAAAATGTGGTTAAAAAATTAGTAGCTTTTTTTAACTAATCATAATAGGGGAGATCCAGTACGGTTGTTGCACTTTTTTATCAGCAATAATTTTAGTTATGATTTATAAGGTGACTATACGTCCCGGTTTGGCCGGGACAGTCCCAAATTTTCACATTGTGTCCCGGTTTGTTCCAAACGTAATATTTGTCCCGGATTTAGATCTTTTGTTCCGGATTGTCCCGGTTTTTTGAAAATTAAAAGGTAAATCACCAAAAATTGTGAAAACAAATGAAAAGTGATTTTTTTAAAATCAATTATCAAGAAAGTGAAATAGAATTTTATACAAGGCTCAAAAGCCAAAAATATAAGATCGAAAAATATATAATATATAATATAATATCATAGATAAAAAAGTTGTACATATAATCAAAAAATAAAAGTCTGCAATTCTGATTAAAAGAAAAATATTTATATGGAAAACCTTCTTTTTTATTGTTTTCTTAAATAACATTTGTTATTTTAAAGAACACTCTCCCCATGTGAATGTAGGGAGCTGGCTCAAAGCAATAATGGAAACTTGTTCGAACAAAAATACTTCATCTTTCTTCCTTTGAACCCTATCTCAAAATCAGTATAGTTTAACTGTTAGGGCGATTGCCACTATAGTAACCTGGCACAACCGTACCCAGTCTGTACTGTTAAACCATATTAATACTTCAAAAGGGTTTTGTGGTGTTTTAGGGAGTTCACTACATTCACCATTTTAGAGACTTTTAATGTAAATAACCACCAAAAATACGACCAAAGTTGTTATTTAAATCTATTTCGACAACATACCAGTATTATAACTGAACCTTTTATATCTAAACTTTTAAAGTAATTTTTAAGCAAAATTGTCCTGGTCACATATTTAATTTTACACACGATTTACTGTGAAGATAGCAAAAGAAATTCATTATAAGAATATTATTATATTAGTCATTACATTTCTGTATCAGCACAATTTACTATAAATAATTAATAACGCAACAATAACAGCCAATTGAATGTAGTTAAAAGAACTTCGATTTAGCATACATTTTTTTTATTAAGTGATATTATTAACTTTAGTGATGCTTTTATAATACTGTAAAGAATTTGACTGTGATCATGTATTGCAATTATATGGCACTCATTTATGTGTGATTACTATTCATATTTTCTTAGTAAAAAGTTGTTGAAGAACATTCCCTATACTTAAGTAGCCAACTATTTTTAAAACTGTTAGTTTAATAATTAAAACTTGTTTGTATAGTTTATGTGACGTTTATAATTCAAATTAATTTAATTAATTTAATTCAAATTTTAAGTCAGTTTTAATGGTTGTGATTTAATTTTAGCAAATTTAGCTTAATTATAGCATGATTATTTTTCTTTAGATTACCATGGCGCTTTGTATTAGTTATGATATCGTTTTTCTATCTTGAATGAATTTTAATTTTCAGTATTTAACATTTAGTTTATTATTGTTTATTTTAGTTTATAAATAATGAGCAATATATAAAGAGAGCAAAAGTTTTTGAATATTTTTATGGTAATAAAATGAGCCAGGCAGTTTTTTGTAAAGACAGTGAAATTCGAGGTTTGGTGGTTTGTCGGAATTTTGACAATTAATTTATAATGATTTTACGTTAATTATATTTTTATTTTAATTAAGATTTAAATTCTTAATTGGAAATTCTTTATATTGAACGAGAGATAGTATTAAATTATTTTTTTAATTCAGCTCTTGGCAGGTAACTATAATATATAAGGTCTATCTCTATTCTCTACATTATAGTTTGCTTGAAAATTTCAATACTAAATTTAAAAAATAGCAATTGCTCGAAGAGTTAGTTTTTTAGTCAAAAGGTTTAGTTCGTATTTCTTAAGTTTCTTTTTTAATTTAGCCCTTAGCAGATCACTTTATAATATAGAGTCCTATTCTTTATTATTGTTTGCTTGAAAATTTTAAAACTAAATTTACGAAATATGATTGCTCAAAGCAGTAGGTTTTTCTTATATAAAATGCTTTAAGTTTTAATCTATTATATTTTTTTTTGTTAATTCAGCCTTTGGCAGGTTACCCTATAATATAGAGTCTATCTCTACATTATTATTTGCCTGAAAATTTCAATATTAAATTTAAAATATAGCTATTGGTCAAAGATGTAATTTTTCTTATATAAAATGCTTCAAGTTTTAGTCTATTATGATTTTTTTTAATGCAGCCTTCGGCAGAATACCCTACAATATAGAGTCTATCTCTACATTATTGTTTGCTTGAAAATTTCAATACTAATTTCATTAAATAGCAGTTTATCAAGAAAGTAGATTTTTGATCTCCGTTTCAGTTATTGTATTTTCAACATTTGCATCATTTTAATGGATTTCTTTTTATTAGTAAAACAAAATATATATACTTTTATTTTAAAAAATAAGTACATAAATTCAATCAAAACCTTTTCCAATCAATAATTCACTGGAACCATTTTTGAGTTTTCGAATTAATCCAGAAATATGTGCAAGGCCCATACAATGTCGTTGGTTATCGTTCGTATTTTTTTAATTTAATTAATTTCTAATTTATTTTTTATTTTATTATTTTAAAAAAGTCTATTTATAAGCTTTTTGTACTTAACTGTTACATTTTATATATAAAAATACACTTTATACTAACGAGTAAGCACAAGTGTTGATTATGTGAGTAGTAAATTTCGGTTGCTTGTGTAATTTAGGGATGGGCATTTTTTTAAATTTCGATACTTTTCATGTTATTGATATTATTAAATATACGATTATCAATATTTTTGTTATTCACGTATACTTCTGGCAAACTGGATCAGAAAATAAAACTGTTAAGAAAAGGAGTAAAATATAAATTCAACAAGCTATTATGCTATTCTCGATATTTTAGTATTCGAGATTGATATCCATTATTTTCATGATACAAAATTTTATGCCAATTGGTTTAAAAAAAATTATGCCCTTTGGATACAAAATTTTATGCCAATTGGATAAAAGTCAACAAAATAATGCTTACATTTTGGTAAACGTAAATGGTTACGGAATTATTGCTATAAAATCAGATTTTGACAGAGAGACCATTTGTACCATTGAATAAATTCTAAAACCTTCTATTATATCTAATTTTTCTATTAAACTGATGATATTTTTCTATAAAACTATGAAAAATCTCATTTCAAAATTAGTGTAACTAGTGGTGTTTTTTTTTCACAAATCGGCCGTGTTTGAAAACTAAATATCTTTTATCTCTCTCTATAAATCTAGTATCGAATTTTGATAGAATCGAAATCGAAATTACCCATTCCAAAGTGTATATGTGAGGATTAAACTAATATTTAGATATAGAAAAACTGTTTACTGGAAATCAATATATGAAAGTTATTTATTTTTATGCGAGATTGAATGTTTAATTGAAATGTAAATAATGTCTGTTTAAAAGAATTTATACAAGTGCTGGCAACTTGTTTATTTATTGCTTATATATGGATTAACACACGATAAACATACCATATAAATATATATATATATATATATATATATATATATATATATATATTGTGTGGCACAAGATGTTATAAAATGCGACAAAATTTTAAATATATATAAGTGTATTTTATATAATTTTATTTCAATATCTATAAGATTAGAACAAATCACAAAATTTGGCAAGAACATATATAAATATAGGAACAAATCTATGATTGTATTAAAAGCTCTCTGTTATTGATGCATACACTTGACAATCACATTATGAAAAATATATTGATATTAATACCATAGTTATATAATATAATACGAAAACTATTTGTGTAATATTTGGACACCATTTGGACGCTCGGGCACGGCGACAAGGAACGTTGTTTAAATTTAAAAAAAAAAATTAGGAACGTTCATATATTACGTAAGACGGACATTTTCACATTTTCCGAAGTTTTTGAAAAAAATATATCTGTATAGTTCGAAAGTTTTTAACGTCGCACCTAATGGATGAACGTCCCCAGAATAGAAACATGTGTGTTATAAAAAATGAATCTGTTGTGATTATCGATGTTAATATATATTTTTAAATTTCTAGGTAGTTGAAAACGAAATATATGAAATATTAAAATTAACTCATATGTTGCAGGT